GTGCATGTGCGCACATGTGCACATTCATGTACCTCTTGTTGCAAAGCTCTGTGATGACTGCAGTCTTTTCTTGGAAATCTTTCTGGAGGCAAAAACCCCCCATCTTTACATACTTTACAGCTACATAAAAATTAGGAAAATGACATAACCAACTTAAAAATTTTTTTTAAATATTTTAATAGATAAAAAAATAGCCAACAAAATGTGTTATTGAAATATAGTTGATTTACAGTGTTGCATTAATTTCTGTTCTATGAAGTGTTTCAGCTATATAAGCATATATTTTCATATTTTTTTCCATTATGGTTTATCACAGATATTGATATCCTGTGCTGTACATTGTGGGCTTCCCTTGTGGCTCAGCTGGTAAAGCATCCACCTGCAATGTGGGAGACCTGGGTTCGACTCCTGGTTTGGGAAGATACCCTGGAGAAGGGAAAGGCTACCCACTCCAGTATTCTGGCCTGGAGAATTCCATGCAGAGTTGGACACGGCTGAGCAAGGACCTTGTGTATCCAGCCAACTTTTAACTCATGTGGCCAAAGCCCAAGCACCTGTGTTGCCAGGAACTCGATGTCCTGTCTTTTTGATAAAGGAGAAATGTAATCTAACTTTTCCTTGAGATGGGGGTTGGGATATAGTCAGTTTAACTGTGAAAGGACTTGGTTTATATGAGTCAGCAAAATCTGGTCTGAAGAGGGGCTGGAATGGTTCATGCATTTTTTAGACTTTGGTGTTTAAAAGAAGAGACTGAAGCCACATGTAGCCCCAAACCTAAAATATTTACTACCCAACCCTTTGCAGAAGTTTGCCAGCCCTTGACTCGTGTATTGTTTTGTGGCTGAAGAAACCAGGGCTCAGGGGGGCTGAGTTCATGGGGCAGCCGGACCCAGTGGAAGGAGAATTGGGTCCAATTGTCTGCAGGTCCAGCTTTTAACCCTGCTTTCACTGGACCTACCTAATACATTTCTGTGACTGTTGAAGTTTCCCTTTTGACTCTGTCATCCTAGAATTCAGAGTGGTGTCTGCAATGAGATTCAAACACTAACTACCAGGAGTTGGTCAAACTGCACAGGTTAGGGGCACAATTCTTTATGTCTGTCCTCAGTCAGACACTAGCTGCAAGGTCTGGGGTCCCCAGAGCTCCAGCACTTATGAGCAAGTGGCTACAAATTCAGGGTTCCCATTGACCTTGTGATTTCAATAATAAACTAGAATAACTCAGAGCACTCAGGAAAGAGTGCTATTGGTTGTTCAGTCACTAAGTCGAATTCAACTCTTTGTGATCCCATGGACTGCAGCATGCCAGGCTTCCCAGTCCTTCACTATCTCTTGGAGTTTGCTTAAATTCATGTCCATTGAGTCAATGATGCCATCCAACCATCTCATCCTCTGTTGCCCCCTTCTCCTTTTGTCTTCAATCTTTCCCAGCATTAGGGTCTTTTCCGATGAGTCAGCTCTTTGCCGACCTGTATACAGGAGTCCCATAAAAATACGGGAGACCAAGGTGACCAAAGTATTGGAGCTTCAGCTTCAGCATCAGTCCTTCCAATGAATATTCAGGGTTGACTTCCTTTAGGATTGACTGGTTTGATCTCCTTATGATTATAGTTTTATTGGACAAGGGTACAAATCAGGACTAGCCTATAGAGACGGAGGGAGGCTTGGGAGGTTCCCTGTGGGAGGCTTTCTCCAGACACATCGCCTGAGCTTTGGTGTTCACAGTTTTATTGGGATTTCATGAAAAAAGAAACTGGAATTCTCTAGGCAAGAATACTGGAGTGGGTTGCTATTTCCTTCTCCAGGGGATCTTCCAGACCTAGGGATCGAACCTGGGTCTCCTGCATGCAGGGAGATTGTTTACCACTGAGCCAGGGAAGCCCATTCATTACACGGGTGTTATTAATTGGCCACATGACTGAACTTTCATCTGAGATAACTTTCTACCTGAGAAACTTCCCTGCATAACAGGGTGCAGGGCGACCTTTGTTTCCCAAACACCTCCTCTGCTTCCCGTGAAAGGTCTTCCTTCGTGTCCTGACACCCCCTGCCCCCTTAGCTCAGGATGTTACATAAGCTGCAATTTCCTGGCTGCGTTTTGGGCCTCATATTTTTATGGGACTCCTGTGTATAGGTCTCCAGTCCCCATGTCTCCCTCTGAGCTCCCATTCAGGAGGTCAGGCTGATGTCAACTGGCTCAAACCCCAGCCCTCCAATCACACGGTGCTCCTGGCAGGTCAGCCCCCATCCTAAGACTGTCCAGGGTCCACAGGAGTCACCCCATTGGTATAAACTCAGGTGTGCTCAAAAGGTTCCAACATGAACAACAGATACTCCTATCACTTGGGAGATTCCAGGGGGCCAGAGCCTCCCCCCTGGGAAGCCAGGACTAAGACCAGCTGAATCCTTCACTCTGCGACAGTGGCCGAGGCTTGACACTTCCCATGGAGCTGGGTGGCAGTGCTGCCAAAAGGCTTATCATTTTAACAGGCTTCTGACTTAGGAAGGCAAGAGTCCTTCCCAAGAATTCTTTCTGTGTAATAGTAAAACTTTGCATGCGAAAAGGCAGAAAAATTCTCCTTCTGTCCTTGGAGGTTCACCAGTCGATCTAGTAATCAAATTGACATAAGACAGATGAACAGAAAAACAGATCACCTCCCTGGGTCCCACGTCAAAGTTTCCAGGGGGCAGACTCTTACTGGGTCAACTCGGACCACATAACCGCATAGCCCTTTGTGTACCCAGCTGATAGGAGGACGGGGCAGAGTCGTGAACTAGAGAGAGCCCCTGCCCTCGTGGCCTTGGCTATCCACTGCCCAATCTGGGTTGCTCTGTGCTCATCTGAGTCTGTTCTTTCCTTTTACTTTGGCTTCTTTCTCAGTAGATGTTTCCTGAGTTCCTGCTGACATCAGGCTTCTGTACATGGGGGAGTTGTAAACATACACTTTGATTTTATACGGTGGTATTTTCCTAGCGCATTAACTCAGAATTCACCTCACGAGTCTGAATTTGAAACCTTGCTCATAATGTGCTTTGCTATATATGGTACAGCATTCTCCTTAGGCAAGACATTTTCAACAAATCATGTTAGTTATTTTCAAAATATTAATGTCTTTCTCCAAAGAAGGATTGGGTCACACGCATTAACTCAGAATTCACCTCACGAGTCTGAATTTGAAACCTTGTTCATAATGTGCTTTGCTATATATGGTACAGCATTCTCCTTAGGCAAGACATTTTCAACAAATCATGTTAGTTATTTTCAAAATATTAATGTCTTTCTCCAAAGAAGGATTGGGTCACAATGTAGCCCCTGAGCTAGAAGAAAGTTATCTGAGTCCTGGAGGTGGGATGAGGAGGTAGGGACAGTATTTCTACTTAAAATTCCAGATTTGGCCCCGTAGTTGTATAGAAAGGTGAGCTGGCCTGATAGATGACATGTACTTGGGAAATCATTCACTTCGTGTTGTTTCCACCAATTGTGCCAGTAATTTTTCACCCCAATATTTATGATCCAACATTGAAATACTTATTAGGGAAAAGTTGTTTCCATTCTTATTTCTATCAGGGATTTTTTTTTTTTTTTGGCCTCAGTCTTCTCTTCACACCTCAGTTATCCAGTTATTTCTTCTTCTTTCTGGTCCACACATTTTGTCCAAAAGAAGTCACACAGAATTTTCTTTTGAGCTGTTTCTCATGTCCATTGTTTTCCCCTTCTCCATGCAACAGATACTTTTATCATTTTGCTTCTAGATGGTTGGGCTTCCCCAGTAGCTCAGCTGGTAAAGAATCTGCCTGCAATGCAGGAGACCCTGGTTTGATTCCTGCGTTGGGAAGATCTGCTGGAGAAGGGATAGGCTACCAACTCCAGTATTCTTGGGCTTCCCTTGTGGCTCAGCTAGTAAAGAATCTGCCCACAATGCGGGAGACCTGGGTTCCATCCCTGGGTTGGGAAGATCCCCTGGAGAAGGGAAAGGCTACCCACTGCAGTATTCTGGCCTGGAGCATTTCAGGGACTGTAGAGTCCATGGGGTCACAAAGAGTCAGACACGACTGAGTGCCTTTCACTTTCACTCCTCGATGGTGGAGTTCATTTTCTGCCTCGGGTATGCTTGTCTCCTGCTTAGAAAGCGTCTGTGGTTCATCTGACCTTCAGGATGAAGTTCAGCTTTCTTCCCCTGGCGTTAAAATCATCCACAGTCTGGCCACTGGCTATTTTTCCGAGTTTCCTGTCTATTATTTCCCAGTTTGGACGCCCAGTGCTGGTTTTTGCCATTCTCAGTCCCCCCCCCACCGCCGCCCAATGTGCTTTGTCTACGGGGCCTCTGTCTGAGGTCTTCTCCTCCTCACCCAGATTGTCCTTTTTCCTACTGTAAACCTGACCCAGAGGTTAAGGCTCTGAGACCCTCACACTGTTCTGATCAGCTCTCCGCCCTTGGCACAAAGTGGCCGCTGACCTCTGACCCCGCTGGCCCCTTCAAGTCCCCTCTTCGTCACTTGGTCCTAGTCACTGCTAACTGAGGTTATGCTGGTTAACACTTTTGAGAGCAGGAGCCAGCTTTTTTGTTTTTGTGGTCTCGCCTGCATCTCACCATGGATTCTCAACTGTGGCTACCCATTCATATCACTTTAAGAAGCTTTAAAAACAAGAGGCACAATTGGTGAGGGGTGGACCCAGGAACTGGCTAATTGTGAGAACTTTTTCGGTGATTGTCTGCAGCCAGAGTTGAAAGCCACTGAACGAAGACCAGGTGAGCTGCTCTGCCCACAGGAGGGTGTGGGGCTTGTGCCCTTGCTTCCCATCACTGCATCCCTGCCTGGAGAATTCAAAGCGACCCTTTGCATGACTTACTCAACCAGCAAATACAAGTGCCCTTCATGTACCAGGCACTGTTCTGGGCGCCAGGTCCCTGTAGTGGACAAAACACGTCTCTGCTGCTCTAGAGCTTCTGCTCTTGGCCTTGGGGAGACAGACCATAAATAAATAATGTCAGGTAATGATGACACCGGCTGTGGAGGAGAACAAAGTGGGGTGAGTGGGCAGAGAGGAAAGCAGCACTTTTGTATAGGCTGGTTTCAAAAATATCCTGTGTCGGCCTTAAATCAGCAAATGCTTTAAAACCAGCCTCCTCTGAGGTCCAGACGGTTTGAAGGTCCTGCTGCTCTCTGCTGCCCCCTGTGGACAAGCAGGGAGTAGAGCAGAGGGATGCCAGACAATGAGGGCTACAGGGGGTGATCTGAGAATGGGGGGTCCGGTACTCAGACCTACACCCAGCTTGTGACCAGGGACCCGGTTGTGAGCATGTCCCATGACAACATGTCAACCCTCAATAGCCAGTGTTACACTGGGGTGTCCCCATCTTAGGATGCAGATTGTAACAGGATTCTAATCACTTGAAAAAGGTGATAAATTTACATAGCTCAAACTGTCTACTTCAAAACGTTTCTGAGCATGAAGTGGCTGTGTCTGAAGTGAGATGCCTGTTACCTAAGTCCTGTGACACCTGTTTCCTTTATAGGTGGGACGTGCGGCAGGTACTAGAGCACAGTAAGTGTAAGTCGCTCAGTCGTATCTGACTCTTTGCGACCCCATGGACTGCAGCCCACCAGGCTCCTCTGTCCATGAGATTTTCCAGGCAAGGATACTGGAGTGGGTTGCCATTTAGGGGGGTGAGCCCAGGGAAGTGGTTTCAGTAATGGTATGTCATCATTCCCCTTGCTGACCCCTCCTCAAGTGAAGGTGAGTGGGGAGTTTTAGCCCAAGAAAGGGTTAGCTGTATGGCTGAAATCGAGTCTTAAGGAGACAGAGGGGCTTGGGTCTTAACCACAGAGACTCGGGATGCAGGCTCGGGGTAAGTCTCGCATGTACCCTTGAGCTGGGATGGGCAGTGCTCTGTGGTCAGGTGGCCAGGGGCATCTGCTGGTCTGTGCAGGCTAAGCTGGGGGGGCCAGGGCTCTGCACTGAGGTTTGGGAATTTAATCTTGAAGCACAGAGGTGCCCCTTTTCCTGGGCCCGAATGCAGGGCACACCCCCTTGCGGTTCCTCTCGCGGTTCCCAAGCACAAAGGAGCCAGAAAGCCTAGCTCCAGAATTCGGTCTCTGGGCCTGGAGGGGAGCTCGCCCCCCTCCAGGGGGAGGGGAGGCTCTGGTCTCTGTTCCCCACACCCCCGCAGTCCACGGGGGCCCTGCCTCCAGCCGTGCGCCCCTCACCATCCTCGACGAGCCTGCGGGTCTGGCGCAGGGGCTGCAGGTTTGGGGAGGGAGGATGGAGGGAGGAGGGGAGGGGGAGGTGGAGGGGAAGGACGAGTGGGGGCGGGGCCGAGGTTCCCACCCCCGGAGAGGCTCCTCCGCCTGGGGACCAGCGGGCGGGGCGGGGCCGGCGCCCGTCTCCAGGGCAGCGGAGGGACTGGGTGGCGCGACGCCCGGAGCATCCTTGCATCTAGTCCCCGCCCGCCGGTGCTGCCGCCGCTGCCCTGCGTGACTTCTTTGTGTTTTGCGTTCTGCCCGCGCCTCTTCTCCGCAGGACCTGTCCGTCCTCCTCCGGGCTACAAGAAGGCAGACGATGAGATGTCCCGGGCCACGTCTGTTGGAGACCAGCTGGACGCACCAGCCCGCACCATTTACCTCAACCAACCGCATCTCAACAAATTCTGTGACAACCAGATCAGGTAGGCGAGGGCGGCGCAGTCGGAGCCGTTCATTAATTCCCCGATAGGAGGGGGCTTGGCTTCCTCTGAGACCCCCGCAGGAGCCAAGCCAGCCCCCACCCGTGTCCCTGCGGCCTCCAGCCCCATCCTCTCCCCTCCCCACTCAAGCCCGGCAGTCTATACCCGCGTTTCCCATTGGAGTGTGGGAATATACCTTTCATCCTCTGTCCTTTGCGTTGGTTCTGTGTGCAGGCTGTCTGTGAGCCTGAAGGATGCTTGTAGGCTTCTGTCCTGGCAAAAATAAGGTTTCTTCTCTCTCTTTATCCCTGAGTGCCCTCCCAAGAACTCCCCCATCCCGTTTTTAAGCCAATTTTTTAGAGACAATTTAAGCCTGTTTTAAGCTCTCCTTAGCAATTTGCCGACTGTAATGTGGCAGAGTGCTTTATAATGGATCCCTCTTGTCACAAGAACTTGCATTCAGCTCTCAATGCCCAGGACATTTGTTAAGAAGGCTTTCTTTTCTGGGAAACTTTGCCCAGAGTTAGTGGGAAGACGGATGAACACTAAGATTTAGATGCCTGCTCTATGCCAGCAGCTCTGTTGGACGCTTTAGTTACAATAGCTTTATGAAATCTCATCACCCGTAGAAGAAGGCAGTCTTACCTTCATGTGAGGAAACCGACATATGAAGATAGATGTTAAAGGACCTGTGGCCATTTAGCTACCAAGTGGCAGAGCTGGACAGAGAACCCAGCCTGTCTGGCTGCTGAGCTCAAAGTGTTTGTGCTGTGCGAAGCTAAATCTTCTAGGCCGGAAGCTGGGATGTTTGCAAATTTCATTAAACTTTCAGGCTTCCACAACTTTATCCCTGGGAGGGACTTCAGAGGATGTGCTTCTGTGAGTGGCTCTGAACCGTGTGCTCAGGTGCAGAGAAGGGAGGTGATGGATTAGGTTTGCCAGTACTATGTGTGCGCGCAACTGAATTCCAGTCCAGAGCTCTCTCTCTGTGGCTTAAAAAGCTGTGGCTTAAAACTTTGTTGTGTGTTGTGTCACCCTGAAGCCTTAGCACTTGAACTTAGCCTGAAATCTTTATTCAGAAAGGCCTGGCTGTTGGGCGTTATTGTAGCTTCATAGGGTTGGGGGTAAAATAATGGTGCATATACTGTGCAGAAGTGACACTTATTAAAAGAGTGTTAGATTATCCTGACTTTATTTTGGGTTTTAAGAATGGCCATTGGGGCCTATTTTTTACTTAAATGTGTAGCTTGGAAGAACAACTGAGGCCAAAATTCAAGGATGAGTGGGTTTGGTTTAAGATGCAGAGCAGCACACATATGAGTTACTGCTTCACCCACTAGGATAGCGCTAATCAAAAAGACAGTAGCAAGTGCTGGCAAGAATGGGGAGAAATGGGACCCCTCCTACATTGCTGGCGGGAATGGAAAGTGGTGCAGCTGCTTTGAAAAACAGTTGGGCAGTTTCTTAAAAGGCTAAATGTAAAGTTACACATGATCCAGCCATTCGAGGTGTATATGCCCAAGAGGAAGGAAATCACACATCCACACAAAACTGGGTGCAGATGTTCATAGCAGTTTCATCAGAGTGGCCCAAAGGGGAGACAACCCAGTTGTCTATCGACTGACAAATGAATAAACAGAATGCGGTATGTTCATACAGTGGAATGTCATTTGGCCACAAAGAGGAATGTTATACTACAACATGGATTAACCTTGAACACATTGTGCTAAGAGAAAAGCCAGTAACAGGTCTCGTGTATGATTGCATTTATATGGAGCATCCAGAAGAGGCAAATCCATTGGGACAGAAGATAGAAGAGTGGTTTCTAGGGTGGAGGAGGAGGTTGGGAAAAGGGGAGAGACTGTAATGTACGTGGGGTTTCATTGTGGGGTGATGGATCCATGACTCTGTGAAACACACCTACCCCACCCGGAATCCTGCGTTGACAGCATAGTTCCATTTCCTCAGACTTTGTCATGTGTTTCTAACTTTAAGATGTTTTCAAGTAATGTTTTTGCCTTGTTGTTCAGTTGCTAAGTCACATGTGACTCTTTGCGACCCCTTGGACTGCAACACACCAGGCTCCCCTGTCCTTCACTATCTCCCAGAGTTTGCTCAGATTCATGTCCATTGAGTCGGTGATGCCAAGCAGATATCTTATTCTCTGTCGTCCCCTTCTCCTTTTGCCTTTGATCCTTCCCAGCATCAGGGTCTTTTCCAATGAGTCAGCTCTTCAAATCAAGTGGCCAAAGTATTGGAGCTTCAGCTTCAGCAACAGTGAATATTCAGGGTTGATTTCCTTTAGGATTGATTGGTTTGATCTTGTAGTCCAAGGGACTCTCAAGAGTCTTTTGACTAGTTCCTATTAATTTTCTTAATTTCAGTATTCATTTGTGGATGCTTAAAGCTGGGAGAAAGAAATAGGGGTCTTTTTTTTTTTTAATTTTTGTCTAAATTCTCTAGTTCCCATGGAAGGTGAAGATTTTTAAAAGTCTAGGTAACTGGGTCTCACAACCTGTTCTTTAATTGACTTACATTGACTTTTAAAAAAATTTTATTTATTTATTTTTTATTGAAGTATCAATTGATTTGCAATGTTAGTTTCAGGTGTATAGCAAAGCAATCAGTTCTACACACAGCTCTATATATACATGTATATGTATAAATCCTTTTCCAGATTCTTTTACACCATAGGTTATTACAAGATATTGAATATAGCTACCTATGCTATATAGTAGGTCCTTGTTAGATCTATTTTATATATATATATATATATATATATATAGTTGGGTGTATATGTTAATCCAAAACTCCTAATTTATCCCTCCTCCCATCTTTCCCTTTTGGTGATCATAAGTTTGTTGTGTATGTCTGAAGACTCACTGACTTTTGAGACTGATTTTTATATCAGAGATTTCCAGTGGCTGCTTGATATACAGTTTCATTTGTACTTTTTTGGAGTTGGGGAGGGCTGAATGGGAGTATACCATAGGTGGAATAAAGGAATAGGAATAAAAAAAATAGGAATAAATTAGGTAGATACAATCATTCCTTATGTGTGAGTGTACAATTGAATTAGTTAAATATTCTTACAGTTCATACGGTTTCTGAGTTCATGGCTTATACTGTGAGAATTGGTTTCAGAATACATGGAATAGGCTTTTAGAAATTAAGGTGTGTTGCCTGTTGTCCTAGAATACGGTCTTCCAATTTTTACTTTATCTTGACTTTATTTAATTAGGAATTACTAATGGTAATGTGACTCATAGTTCATTAAAGAATTGATTTTAAAGCTTCTTGGCATTATGGTTTAAGGATTTTATAAAATGTTGAGCAACATTGTTTCAGCACTGGACCATTCATTTTATAAAATACTGATTAAAAAAAAAATAAGGCTTCTTATCTTGGTCATGAATGTTTGCTGAAAGTTGATAAAGCTACTGAAAGGGATATTTTCATTAAAGGGAGTTGATAAAGGATTTCTTTTTCTTAATAGCTTTTTCTTGAGAAAACAGTGATGGATTTTCTTGGTGGGTCAGACAGTGTCATTCCAGGCTGTCTGCATCTAAATTGAGGCTTTTGAGAAGAAGGGACCACGTGATTGGTGCAGGAGGGTGTTGGGGTTGTCTGGCATATTTGACACTCTGCCCTTTCGAAGGCTGGTCTTCCCTGGGACCCAGCTCTCACTGATCTTCCCCCAACCCAGAGCCTCCCTGGATTGGAACCTGGTAATGGTGACAGTTGCTCTTGACCATCTTCGTGGGCAGCTGGTGTTTTGACTTCGCTAGAGGGACTGGAGTTTGCCAGGAAGGGATATGGTGGTTGGGTGTTTGGGGAGGTTGGTGAGGACAGGATGGTACCATTAGAGTAGGGATGGATGGTCTGGGGTTAGCGTTTGGACTGGTGTGTCTGTCCAAGGAGAAGGCACCACCAGGCTAGTGGGAGTGAGAAGTTCACTGCCTGGGTTGACTGTGGCCTTGGCGGCCCCAGGGGAATGCCAGTTGTGTTGACTCAAATTCCAAGCTGTTTCCTGAAATTCTGGGAGGGTCTGTGCTATGTAAACAGATGTCTCTCTAAACCTTGTTCTTGACACTTGACACCAGTATTTAATTTGACCTGAAGCTGTGGTAGGATGAAGTTTTCCATTACTGAAGCCAGTGAATTTAGATTATCATAATTATAGAGACACATAACATGGTCTTTTCTTGTGTGTGTGCTGTGTGCTAAGTCATTTCAGACGTGTCTGACTCTTTCTGACCCCATGGACTGTAGCCCACCAGGTTCCTTTGTCCATAGGATTCTCCAGGCAAGAGTACTGAAGTGAGTTGCCATTCTCCCCTCCAGGGGATCTTGTAGGGATTGATTTTTCTAGGACGTTAACTGTGAAGACAATAGTTGTCTTCCATTATCCAGAAAAGAGTAGATTTTGCAGTGTAATTATTACATCTGTACATGTACATGTATATGTATGTCTACTTTATAGGATTCCTTTTCTGAAGTGTACAATCACATCGCCTTTAAAATTGGACAGGTTTATTGAGAGATAATTCACATGCCATATAATTTCTCCCATTTAAAGGATACAGTTTTGTGGCTTTTAGTATATTCAGAATTGTACATGCATCACCATCACTTCAGAACATTCTGTCATTTCTCGAATAAACTGTTCCCATGGCTGTCATATCCTAGTCCCTTTCTCTCCAGGCTTGAGACAACCACTAACCTACTTCCTACCTCTGTAGATTTTCCTGTTCTGGATATTTTATATGAATGATACCATGTCCTTTAAGCATTTTAAGTTAAATATTAAATGCTTATAGAAAGTTTGATATTTAGAGAAACTTGGTATTAATTATTATTGATGGAGAATAATTAATTTCATGTATCTATATCTTAAATGTTTCAAGTTAATTTTTTTTCCAGAAAATATCTTCATGATTTTATTGGTCAAAGGAATGGGCAATGTTTATGCCATCAAGTTCAGTGCAATCTTTTTATGTGAA